CTTTATTAAATTATTAAATCAATTACATTTGAATTGTGTGATCTACGTCTAATTCTATATTCAACTTATAATTTCGCCTAACATAATTGTGAAAGTAATCGTATGCAATCACAATTATAATTGTAACTAAATTAAATATAATATAATAATTGCGACTCAACAATTACTTTAATTTTTTAATTATTTTAATTATTTTAATTATTTTTTAAAATTATTTTAGTTGCAATTGCAGCGTTATTGTAACTATATTGTAATTGTAATTAATTACATTCATGAATCAATTATGTCCAATTAAAGAATAAACACTTTCATAATTTTAAAGATGTTGAAAATTGGATCAATTCCAAAGAAGAATCTTTTTATTGTCGGAATCTATCATTTGCCAGAAAGATGAGAAAAAGTTATATAAAACGAAGAAAAATATTTTGATCAAGGTATTCGTTCATTATTTTGTTTAAATAAATCAATCATTTTGAGAAAAAAACCCTCAAAAGTAAATCACACGTATTAATATATTACTAATATAATTTAATCATTTGATATGTATTGTTACTAGTTTTAACATATGATATAATGCCATTTACTCTAAACATTATATAAGAAAATAAAAATACGTAGCACGAAATGTATGTAAAAGTCACAGAACTCTGTTTCAATTTATTTGGACTGTAAAGGAATGTAAAGTGCTCTAAGTGAAACTTTCAGTACATGTCAGTAAGACAGTAAAATGTATTAATTTTAACGATGCATTCTCTCTATGATGTGTAAAGCGGAAACAAATTGCTTTAATCAAAAATGAAAAATTTATCGCATTTCGTGCCACGTAAACGAGTTGTTTGTTCAAAATTAAACACAAACCAGATTATTTGCGAGTTGATCCATAATTCACACTTGAATAACACACTTAAATCCGATTCCATTCGAATTCAATTCGTACGTTAATCTGTGATTTTTAGCAACTCATTAAATATAAAAAATTCCAAAATGTAATCTTATTACGGACTCTTAGTATTAAAAAAACAATAATATTTGACAGGACGAGAATACAGTATGGTAATTGGTACGCAAAATAATTAAGCAAAACTTTGTTATTACTCCTTTAATCCATACATCCAAATATATATATAGAAGGTTTCGACTCTTTTTGGAATTCTCCTCAACTAATACATAAAACTCCCCTGATTGTCAGTTATAAGTGATCTTCAATTTCACACAGATTTGATTAAGATATTCTTTGATTGTTGAAGTGAGTCATTTTTTCTCTTTAACTAATTGAGTAGTTAGTCATTCAATCATTGATAATTTAACTTTTAACAGATTTTTACAACATCAAATTTGTGATTTTGATGATGATTCATATCTGACAATCAGGAGTTTTATTAATTTATGTATTAATTGATGAGGATTCCAAAGAGAGTCAAGAAAACGTTCTATAGATTTTGAGATATATGTGGATTAAAGGAGTAATAAGAAAGGTTTACTTGATTATTTTGTGTACCAATTACTACGCTGTAGGATAAGGTCATCTATTATGAGATAAGTTCCTAATATTAGAGATAGAGGTGTCTGCTAAACTAATAAGAGCATGTGTTTGGTTCTATCATGAATTTTTTACTCTTAGGATGAAATCTGTTTAATAGAAAATTCATTATTAAATCATGCGTATAGTCGTTGCAAAAAAAAAGATTTGAAATTAGATATTGTCAAATTTTAGTGAGGTTAGTCATTAAATCTTGAACAATAAATAAAATAAAAAATGTGTAATTAAGAGCCTTAATACATGGTAATTGCATTATTATATACTTCAAATTGTATCTCTTACATAACTATAAAAACTGAATGTTTCGGTTCAATTCGAGCCATCCTCAGCATGAATATTGGATTGTTATCAAGAATTGCTATTATTTGAGAAGATGGCTGATGAAGATGGCTTGAATTGAGCCGAAACGTTCAATTTTTATAGTTATGTAAGAGATACAACTTGAAATATATGTTTATATGATATTTTCGCGCCAATTACCGCGTATTAAGGCTTTTAATTACTCATTTTTTATTTTATTTATTATGTTTAATATCTCAAAATCTCAACTTTAATTATTCGCTTCTTTAAATCTTGCTTTATTATATAAAAATAAATATTGGATAATAAAGTCTGCATGAAGTGATAGAGTAAGACCGATATATTGATCGATATATTGATAGGAAAACATGTGATATAATGATTTGTTTAACTGTAAAGATTAGATTTGGTGATCGTGAAACTGCAAGATGTAGAAGTTGTAATATGAGATACTCACGATATTCATAGCTAATATGAGAGTATCTAAACAATTCAATATCCATATTATCGAACGATATATTAAGAATGACGATTCTATTATTGTTAAGATTTCTCTCTCTCTCTCTCTCACACCACACACACACCACACAGATAATCGTTCATAAAATATTGTCACTGGTATTGCTTTTAATTATGAGGAATAAAAACATAAAAATAGAGTAATTTAAATATTTTAGTTTTGTGTAGATCTTCTTAAACAAAATAACTTTAATTAAAAAATTTTTTATAACTTATTTTATAAAATAATCGATGTACACAACGCACGCACGCACGCACGCACGCACACACGCACGCACGCATGCACGCATCGACAAATTATATAATCAGTAAGATTAAAAACAAGACCATTTATGTTAAATACATTACTTTAAATACGAAGCGTCACTGCGGTCTGAATATAAGATGTTGAACTATTATATATATTCATATAAATGAATTAATTTCAGAAATGATAATTGCGTGCCGATATGGTTGTCGGACTTTCAGATTATTTGCGTTGAAAGTTCGACAATTATATCGGCACGCAATTATCATTTCTGAAATTAATTCATTTATATGAATATATTATAGTTCAATATCTTAACATTCAGACCGTAGTAGTGCTTCATTTTGAAGTAAATTATATAATTATTATATATAACATTTAAATTTTTTGTTCCTATTTTTATGTATTATAATATAGCAAAAGCGTGTATAAAAAGCTTATCTTTATTTTTTTCCTTAGTTTCCTATTATCAGGTAACACATCACATAAGGAAACATTTGTATTTCACATATTAGGAACCCTTTTTTTGAATAATCAAAATCGGCACTTTTGATAAAAAATTTCACATGCAACAAAGTACAGCTATTATCGATTGCTAACTTTTGACGATTAAACTTAAATATATTTCCCATAAATTTAACGTGGAGGTAGAAATTGAAGTTACAAATTAAATAAATTACAACTTTAAAAAAGGTATCTCATAATAGGCGACTTTACTCTGCTCTCATTCGTCCTGTCAAACATCGTTTTTTATAAAAAATTATGTCAGATATAGAAAGTAAAAGATATAGTAGTAGATATAGAAGTAGATATAGAAGTAGATATAGAAGTAAAAGATTATATATTGTTATAATTACCGATTGTTTTGTTGAAAAACGGATTTAAATTGATGTACAATTAATTAAAAAAAATGTTTTGGTCTATATGTAATTTCTCGATAAGAGCTTTAGAAGCGACTTAAACTTGTTATATAGAATAGAAATAAATAATCAAGTTTCTTCTTGATGATTAATGAACTGAAGAAAAATAAAGTTTATTAGAATGTTAGATGAAATTTATTTTACTTGAAAGGGAAAGAAAACAGATCACTTGTTCGTGCGACATTTAACTGAATCGAAAGTATTAAGTTTAGTATATTTGTACAGATTAATTTTAAAAATTCTGCTGCTTTTATTTATGAAGATCTTTGCGAGCGTCATTCTCGCCGGAGACAACTTTATCTATCTAGTCAGTTCATCGTCCACGTGCAATTACAGTGGTTGTACACGCGAGGCTTTTCGAGAAAATCGCATTCTCTCTGTAGAGAAACGGAGAAATGCGAAATCGTGATTGCGGAAAGAGGAGGATTGCGTTCTTGTATAATTCGCGTTGACCTATCCGTCGCCACAAGCGCGCATCGTGTAAATCGCGCGCAGTTGTTAATTTGCTTTACCCTTAAACGCCATAATACGTTGTAACTTGTCGAAAAGGGCAACGGATGGAAACAGAGTTTTACAATTAGAGGCTTCCTTGCTGCGCGCATTTGTGCTCCAACGTGTAATAATACCGTAATCTGGATTTGCATTTGCAGATAAATTAACGCGCACTTTGAGTAACGCGCACACGAAGTTATTTGAGAAACCTTTAATCTGCTAATTGTGAAATCTTTAGATACATCGGTAATGTTATCGTATAGATTCGAACTAACTTTGCAACTGCTGTATTAAAGATTTCATCATTATTAGTTAAAGCTATTTGCGTACTATTACCTCTCTTTTTTAGAAATGAATAAAGAATTAGATTGAAATTGAAATAAATCTGTTAACGGAATCAAGCATTAATTATGTATATAATTATAAAAAATTCTCTTCCTAGTTTAGGCTATCCAAAAATTAAAGAAGATACTTATTATGATCTTAAGATCGTTTGCAAGAGAATAATTAGAGAAATCGATATCATAAGATCAATTTCTAAGAGTCTTACATTAAATTTAACATTTACGACTTTGATTTAGGTAATTAATCAGACAAGATTTAAAAATAAAATTTTTCCAAATGTGCAAGTTATCTGAATCGGTCATTTCATACGTAACAACCTAGTAACATTTATGTGAAGAATAAAGGGAGCGTGCAAATCGCACACAACCATTAACCCTGTTTCCATCTGGGCAGTACGTTTTACAGTACAAAACTTGCAGTTGAGATAGCAAGCTCTATATGTGTGCAAGTATATACGGTTAGATGTGTGCGCTTGTGTGTTTGCAACCGGACCCTACGAGTGCACCTAAATCCGCGATTGTGGCGAGAAGGCTTAACGTTTTCGCTCTTAAATGATACGAGCGAGGCGCCCGTGCCGTGTCTTCGTCTATATTCCGGCGCATTTTACTCTCGCGTAGAATCGTGCATGCACTCTCACCTCGCTCCATTTATCGGTTTCCCACATCGGACAGGACACGGTATTGCAGGTCTCTTGAATGTGTGGCTTGTGCGTGCTGCTACACTTGTGATCGGGTAGCTGTAACAATTTAATATTACTATAACTATTAGAATTCTATAGGGAAGTACCTCGTTACTTGTGTAACGAAGTTACAATTAGACTTACATTTTTTCAGTAACTTAACTTACAATTAGTTAAATTTTTTATGATTATTAACTAATTTATGGTAGTTACTTTATAGTTACTTTATATTAACTTAATATTTTAAACTTATTCATCAAAATATGTATATGGGTTAAAATAAAAAGCTCAGTGAACAATCAGTGACTATTTCTTGTAATTAGAATTCCTTTATCTCTGATAATTATTATACTCTGTAAATGTCTATTATTAATTAAGAATTAAGCTCTGTAGAAGTTTTTTGACACAATGAACGCGTTTTCCATAATTTTGATTTCAAGTGTATACATATATGTACATATTAATTGCAATGCAAAAAATTACCACAAATTTATAGAAAAGTAACTGAAAATAACGACGTGTTACTTTTTAAGTAATTATAATTATAACATGTTACTTTTCACTCTTTTTAGAATCAGTATGTACTTGTAACGGTGAGAATTTGTCTAGAATTTGTAATGGTGTAAATACAATTATTTTTTGAAAGAAAAAACTGTAATTAGCTACTTTTAAAAAGTAACTTCCTCTTTCTCTTTCAATTTTTAAATTTAATAATATCATTAAAATATTAATATGAGGAAATTATACAAGTGCATGTGACATATTAAGAATTGAAAAATTTCATTATGAATATTAGACAACAAGTGTCAACGTGTGTTTGAACAGCAGAATGTCGACAATTACACAAGAAAAACCATATTTATGATTATAATTGCATGGTAAAACAATTTAGGAACTTTATTTTTATAATTATTCTTATTATAATGTTACAATAATAATAATAATAATCTTTATAATTTTACAAAAAATATAGTTGCATAAAAAATTATAAATTATGATAATATTGCATTTTATCTTCAGTGCAGAATTATTCGACACTGAAGATAAAATGCAATATTGTTTTCACAAGGTAATAAACATAATAATTAAATCGTGTATCGGCAGAAATTTATCTTCGAAAATAATCATCAAAACATTTAATACCAACGTTTAAAAAAAACTGTGATAAAAATATTTTGTTAATGAAAAATCAGTCGTAAATATGATATATAAATTCTCGAAAGATGTCTAAAGCTATAGGCTGCGCAAGATACCGTGCATATGTGAAATATGAACGTACACTGTCTTATATACGTGTGCGAGAGAGCTAGCTGTCGGATGAGGGAGGTTTTACGATGAGCGACGGCGTGTACTTATGGAGCAGCTCCTCGAGTTTAAACGAACCGAACTGGGTTAGGGATCGTGGGATCTTCCAAGACCGTCACGGAAAGCGGGACGCGGCTGCGTATGTAAATGCGACTCGCAGACAAGTACGAAAGTATGGCATAAAATTTCCCGAGATGAGAGGAATGGTTAACGTTCCGTCCGCGCGGAAGTGCGACGGAATTACGGTCGTGTCTAACGTCAGTGGCGAAATGTGAAAAATGTGGCGTTTTATCGTGTGCACGCGTAACGCTGATTCCGTCGCGCTTGGCAGATTTATTCTAGAAAGATTTATTTGTCTTTACATCGTAAAAAGCGTCGTTGCGTTGACATCCCTCTGAGGGGCAGACGCAAACACACAACCGGGTTTTCAAAATCGTGTTAATCGTCGGCATAATTGTATTGATTTCTCACATCATTAGGCAAATTAAAACAATTTAATTACAATATCTCAAACTAGAATGTTTCACACAAATGTAAATATAGTTTATGCATGAGAAACTTTTTATTCTTTCTCTCGTTGAAAAGTTCTTTAATTAGAGAAGAAATGAATAAAAAATAATAATAAAGTATTCATTAAATACGTATAAAATAATAAAGAATAACAATGAGATTGTAAATAACAATGTGTCAAGTGTAAGATAACTGCCAACAATATCGACAGCCAAGACTATTTGTACGAAATGAAATATCAAAATCGAAGCGTTAACAAACAATGTTTGTTTCAGATAAGTGATTCTCAAACTCCACCGAGATCGTCACAGAGTCAAGGAGAAAACTTGATTAAACAAAAACTTTATTATTGAAGAGCCTTTCTTCCGGATTTACCTTCGTGGTTTCGTTTCCGTTCTCCTCGGTACAGAAGACGGATCTTGTTCGTGAACCGCCGCCGCAGCTTGCGCTACACGCACTCCAGTCTCCGTTCATCCACCTGGAAAAATAAAGAAAGAAAGTTTCCTCAAGATGGTATCATAAAAAACCGAGATTAAGTTTTTGTAGAGTTATTCACAGCCGCGTAATATAGTGAAGTCGCATGTGCTAATGAAATCTGATTAACATTCCGTTTTCGTTGGTGGCAAAAATGTGACCAGCAAGTCTTTGTATTATTTAAAATCGGTGTAAAAAATGTACGTGCCATCAACATCTGCGATGTAAAGTTTATGATACGGGCATGGCAACATACTGTTTAGAACGCGTACTGTTTAAAATGCAGCAGGCATTTCCATCGATATGCTTCTCGTTCTTTTATATCGGTGAACACATTTATTTTTTACGATCGATTTTCGTAGAACAGGAAGTTGTCGGGTTCCGAAACATGAAATAGAACCTGGCATGCGGATTGCCTAAATCTTGCACTGTTGTTGTCACTGCTCTCGAACAATGCAGAATGGTTCATAATTTATCACAATGTTTGCATTAGTTATAAATGCTAAACATGAATGACAACGCAGAGGAATTTTAAAATTTAAAGTTTACTTATAAGCAATGTAAATTGTTATAAATCGGATAACACGTACAGAAAAATTAAATAACTAAATTTTAATTGTTAATAATAAAATACAAAGAAAATACATGATACTAATACAAAATACATCACCAAAATAAATTATTTATGCTGTATGTGAGAGAGAGAGAGAGAGAGAGAGAGAGAGAGAGAGAGAGAGAGAGACCTGTAAGCTCTTAAATGTTAAAAAATAGTTACAAGTTAATGATAAAAAGTAGCTTCATTGTAATACACAATATTGATTTTCTATATCACAGATTTAAAATTATGATTTTTTTTAATTATTGCTAATTTTTTATGATATCTTAAAAATTTTACTTTGAACTAAATAATAACAATTAAAATTGTACTTGAAATAAAATTATAAACAAAATATAAATTTCCAATATTTTTGATGAAATATGAATCTTCAATAATGTGTCATCTATACCACGTCATATATACAACGAGTAATCTAATTCATAGTTATTTATTGTATATACAGGGTGTCCCGAAAGTTTTTGCCAATTGCTTTTGTGTAGATAGAGCGGATTAAACTGAGTTTATTTGCAATTTTCGCAGTAGTTAACAAGATATTAATTACAAAAAATTGCCAAATGATTGATTATTAATCTTGAATAATTTTTTACTCAAATACTATCAACTTTACAGGAAAAGACAAAAATAATTCATTTTCTTCTCATAGAACTTTTCTATAAGAATTTTTTCAGAATTTTTTATCAACTTTTTAATACTACATTTTTTTACTTTTACCAACATGAGAAAATACGGTATTAAAAAATTCTGAAAAAATTTTGAAAAAAATTCTCAGAACTTTATGAGAAGAATAAATGATTTTTGTCTCTTGCAGCTTTTCTATAAATAGTTTGAGTATAGTATTTGAGTAAAAAATTATGCAAGACCAATATTTGATAATTTTTAATAATTAATATCTTGTTAACTATTGCGAAAATTGTAAAATAGTAGAGGACTTTTCGATTCAGTTTAGTCCGCTCTATCTATACAAAAGTGATTGGCAAAAACTTTCGGGACACCCTGTATATAGACGACATATTAAGGGAAGAGTAGTACACTACGATCAATTTAAAAAGTAAAGATTCTTTTTATTTGGATTGGAAGAAAAGTATAAATGTGATCCACTTGTAATTTTGCACTTTATTAATACGTATATTGATCTTATGTTGCAAATTTTGTTTAAAATATTAATTTTGTGGAGAAATACAACAATCTACGTAAAACGTAATTTTGCGCGTACTAAACAATGTATATCAATGCTCGCAAGGATTTACACATTTCGGGCTGATCCGGCGAGCGACCCCCACCACCGTGAGGATCCCGTTTGAGGCTCGGCGGCCGAGCTGCCGAGCGCTCACGTGACGCTCTGGCTCAGGAGCATCCCTATACCAGAAATATACTGGAAGCGCATCTTGCGCCAAATTATTATAGGAACATGTTTTTTTATTAAATAATTTATTTCTATTAACATAAAACTTTCTATTGTTAATTTATTTATTGTATAGGGACGCTCCTGAACCAGAGCTCAGCCATCGAGCCTCGAGTGGTGGTGGGGGTCGTTCGCCGAAATCAGCTCGAAATGTGCAAATCTTTACGAGCACTGATGTACATGATTTCGTCATTTTGGTTATCCTGAAACAAATATCGAAATAGTTTCACAAATTATAATATACTCACTATAGCTTGACCGAGCTTCTTTCCACTTCTATGAAAATTGATAGAAATACACATGTTTGAATTTGTGACACATTTTTTTACATGTTATAAATGTTATTGTATTCTGAAAACTAAAAATGTTATCAATATAATGTCGGTTAGACAGAAACTTCTGTTTCCTTGTATATACATATATTTCAAAGCCAGTCAATTCGTCAATTGTAGCCTGAGAAATCATATACACCGTCTGGAAACACTGGTTTTGGGAAAAATGTGTTTAAAGTTTTCCACGTTTTCTTTGTGATTGATAGAATACTCATTTCTATGTGATTCTTTGCATATTTCATATTCTTCTGTATGTATATTTTAGTTCCAATATTCACATTATTTGCAGTACGACTGCATGAAACGTTATGGCGCTCGATTCTTTGGATTGACTACTTGCGCGTACACTGTTAAATCTATAGTATTTTTAATCTAATGTGAGTCGCCATTATTCCTACTAAATATAGGAACTCAGTTACATCGTTATTTTTTACTAAAACAGTAATTAAATTTGATATTATATCGTGTCAAATTGACACTATATAATGTCAAATATAACCATTGTTTTAGTGTCAAATATAATCATTGTTTTAGTATAAAGTAACGATATAATTGAGTAGGAGTAGTGGCAACTCACATTAGGTTAAATTTGACACTATAGATTTAACAATGTAAGTATCTGCGTCCACTTCAAATGTAACTCAAGAAATAATTCGAATATTCACTTAGGACTTTTTGCACATTAATTCTAAGACTACAAACAATATTTTAAACAAAAAATTTGTTTTTTCGAAAATTTCCAAGTGTACTCCCACCTAAGTATAGTTTATAAAATTATTATATTTTATGTGTAAACGTTTAATTGTGTTAATTTTAATCATTTAAAGTTAATTTTAATCATAAAGTAAAATTAATTATTTAATTTTACTTTAAGTGATTAAAGTTATAATAATATATAAATTATAAAAATTATAATATTTTAATTAAGTAGTTTTTAAAATTATTTAGAGAAGCCCTCAAAGTTAACTTTAAAATTGTTAATGGAAATTCTTACTTTTTATTCATGAAAATTGTACTAATATTTTAATGCTAAAATCAAGATTTTTTTCAAAATACTATAATAAAATCTCCCTTTTAGTTAAATATTATTTGAAATATGAATTAGCAAAGTTTATTGCCAACATTAACATTATCCAAGATATCCGCTGACGAGATAATTAAAACCTATCGAATGTTGTCATAATTTTGAACTTTCTCAAGGCCATTAGAGGCTGTTTTCCACATTTTTACGCAAAAATGGAAGTAATAAAGGTCTTTATATTTCTATATTAAAAAATCTTTCTATTCCAATCCAAGTTATAGTAGCACTAATTTTTCTTTAAGAAAATAATTATATTAGAAAACTGCAATTAAAATAACATTTAAATTATATTATTTAATATAATTACATATATTACAATATAACTCATGATATGTATTCTCGAATTCTCATTCAAGAATAATTCTGTTTCATCTCAAATGGTAATATTTTTTTATTGCAAAACGTTAAAAATATTTAATATAAGAGACTTGGTGTTGCTAAAACAAATTTGTTATATATAATTTATAATAGTATTATATTAAAACAGCGCCAAGTTTTTTGTGTTAAATATATTTGACGCTTAAAACAAAAAATATATAATTAATAATTAGACAGACTTAAACGCAATTTTATATTCAAATATCTACGGATAGAATTACAAGACGCATATAAACATCTTGAACACGTAAAATTTGAAATGTTTAACATGTATAGACAAATAAAGAAAATTCTACCATTTAACATATTCAATTCGTTCTTTCGTAGATAAGAAACCAATTTTAATAGAATTTGGCGAAAGGAACAAGAAAGGATTAATAAAATTAAAAACCTGCGAGCTAGTCATAGATTTAGAGAAAGAATGAAAATTAAAAATATTAACTATAACATAAAGCATTCGTTAAACTCTGAAATGAATTGCGATATCCTAAGTGCACCGTTGAAGTTAAAGAAAATTTCAACCAAAGATATTACGGCCTATGAACGACAAACAATATTAATATTTGCCCAGACAGATTTAAAACAAATTTTGCAATAATGAATATAAACGAACAATGGCTAATAAATCTCAGTGATACTGAGATTTCAGAAAAAGCCAAAGTCATATTATAATTAGGTCAGCAATTTAATTTACTTAATAATGTCAACAAAGAAAAGAGTATGCTTGAGTTTATCAAACATGTTGAGTGTAACCTTTTCAAAACTGATGACGAAATTTATAAAACGGTAAGGAACGAAGTAATTCAAATATTTAAATCAATAGATAACTGCGACATTAAATCATTTGAGAATAATATCATACGAGAAGGTGTAAGGAAGGAAAATGATTTATCTCAGAGAATCCTGAAATTTTAATTACCAGAGCTGATAAAGGTAATACAACAGTAATTATGAATCGCGAAAGTTACAGAAGGAAAATGTATGAGATTCTCAATGATCAAAGCATACATTTCAATAAATAAAAGTCTCATTAACAAAATAACAATGAAAATTCGTAATTTACTAAAAAATTGGAAAAACAAAGGGTACATTGACCTAAACATATATAAAAAAATTGTACGTATTGAACGACGAACTTTCGAGTTCTTATGGACTGCGAAAAATTCATAAGGAAGATCATCCGAGATTAATA